GATTAAGTGAGATGCTTATTTCATAGTTAGTTTATACATTCTATAGATGCTTTGGATGGACGTTACTACATTTCTCCAAAGCAGTTATACAATCGTAATGAAATATGGCGCAGATGTAGAACATTGTCTGGAAGAACACATAGGCTACTTGCTTTTGTTTTTTATTGTAATTCCGCGCGCTAGTAAATTTCATTTAGATTCGTTACTTCTGAAAATAAGTTCTTTCGAATGTAATATTCTCGACTTTAGAGCGCGTCCACACCTTTGACTAAACTATCGCACAACTGTTGTGCGATTGTCGATTGTTTCGCAGCTAATTCAACTGTTTATAGTTTGTCGAAATAATTTTGATTAGTTTGATAATTCATTTCAAATTTAGTAGGGATGGGTTGTGTGAAATCAGCCATAAATCTTATCGATTTTCGATTTTTATTTTGTAGAAGTTGGAATCGACAGATTTATAGTTATAACTTAATATTGACCATAACAAATAATGAGAGTAAATAAATGTCTATTACTACTATAGCTGTACATAATCGAATTGGATTTCGCTATTATTTCTGTCATCGCTGAATTCTCTACACTATTATCAATACTAGAATTGGCCTCTAAATAAGTGAATAAGAAAATAATAATTTTAGTTGAGTTTGTTAATTATTTAAACCGAATATCGATAGTTCAAAATTATTCGATGTGTGTTTGTTTCGTCACTACGATACCTGTCTATTAAGTATGGCATTTGACTTCATATAAATTGAATTGGGTACTTCATATGCGTCATTTATCAAACTAATCTAAATTATTTAGACACCTCCATGTTAGCTGATACGAATAAAAGTGCGACTAATCAATTGTGCTATAGTTTTCAAAGTCAATGATTACATTATTTTTTCTGAAACATATCTTCATTAATACGTACCACAGTTGGCTTTTGCTCCTACGGCAAAAAAATATTACATTGAATAACATGACGCAAAAACAATTAAATTATATTTCATTACTATATACAACTAATTGTACCTGTGTGACTTGTTTTTCTATAGACAGTTGTGGAACATACTGATTATGAATCGTAGAGCATATGAGATTTCCGCGGAAGCAAATGTTGTAATAAAAATCTTTAGTTTTATGAAAATAATATATCTTCAATTGTTGATCAACAAAAATACAGTAGTTAATTAATAAAATTGCATTGTTAAAATAAAAAAAATGCGACATTGCGTTAAATCTATCACAATCAAATCTTTTCTCGTTTAAACTTTTCGCGCTTCTCTTGTTTTTCACTGTAACTTTTTTAAATTCAAATAGGCAAAATCTTGGTGGCCAGTATGCCACCTCTTTGGCTGTATACGAACTGCTTGTCAACCAAAGAGGTTTTTTGCAACGAGAACCTTCAATAAAAACAGAGTTTACAATTTATATTCTTGCAAACCATAACAAAATTTTAAATTATTGTTGTTTTTTTTTCTTGTTGTGGTTGTTGGGACGAATACCTTTGTATTGTAATCTTTAATTTATGCCCTAAGTACTTAGTTCTTTGATGTCTTAATTGACTTTTGTTCGACTTTTAATTTTCAATTATACAATTTTGATCAACAAAAAAGAAATCAAAAGTCCATTTTTGGTTATTAATACAAAGGAATTAGATTTATTTTTTCTAGCGTTTGTACTTTCAAACAATCACGCTTATTAAAAAATACACTTAATTATTTTTTAAAGTAATTTAGTTTCAAATAAAACTTTCACGTTTTTATAGTTTTAGTTAAAATTTTAATGTTATCCAAGTAATAAGTAAGACAAACTAGCTTTCGTCCGCGTCTCCGTCCGCGTGGAATTAAGAAAAAGTAAGTAGACTATGTGTTCAGCTATTAAGCCAAATTTCATCGAAATCCGTTCAGCCGTTAAGGCTACAAACTCTAATAAACATCCATCTATCCATCTAAACTTTCGCATTTATAATATAAGTAAGAAGTAAGATATATGCAGTAACAGTACGTTCCTCTTAAGAGCTCTTCGAACTAACCATTAAATAGTTTTGTTAAGAGCGCACTTGGCGCTTGGCCATCTTTGCAGCTCCTGACACAATTTAACTGCAATTGTCACCGCTGGAGAATATCTACAAGTAATTGTATAAATACCTAACATATTCATAGTAAAATCCATTATTTAGCTAAGACAAATTTTATAATTTTTTACTTAAAATTCCATATATTGCTTAACTCAACAGCTATCATCTAAAAAAGGGTTAAAATATAAGTTAAAACTGCGAAAACATATAATAAGGAAAGTTAATAAAATTGAAGTTTATAATCCCGTGTGCGACTTGATAAAGTCCCTCATGTTCGGTGAGGCGAGGTTCGCAAACACGCTTGGAGAAAACCGCTGCCCGCACCCCCGGCCGAAAGATACCACGCCACGTGCTACACCATCAACAGTACCTACCCCTCCTGAATCACCCTGGACAAAAAATAAAACAATATTTCATTAGTATTTGTAACATTTAGAGCATCAATAAAAAACATAAGTCATGTCAAATATATATCATACATCTCTTCTTTTTACTTTATCGCATATTTGAAAAAACTCTGGTATCTTATATTTATACAAACACATTGGTGATAATTTCAGATAAAATTTTCAACGGAACATCGTACGTGAAAGTTCGCCAAACAACTTTGGGACGACAAGCTGACGCTTGAAAGTTTCATGCTAACCCGATTTCCTTGTATTCCAACTAAGTTTTTTTATCATTGCGCATGGAATAACTTAACATCGTATAATTTAATTAGATTTATTTCTTAAATTGTTTTATTAATTTCAAATATACCTGGCATGTACTCTTCCCTCCTAAGAAGAAGTTTCCGGCGCAAAGCATATTCTCTGTGATCCGCAAAGGGCTGTAGGCAGATTGACATCTAGAACGACTGACTAAATTTAAATCAACAGCCATCAATCTATCCGGTAATGTTGAAGCGCCTTGCTGAAATTTTTAGCAATCTTTACATTATAAAGTTTGCATATTGCATAAGTGTATTCAATCATAACCATGGGATTCTGCTACCAACATCTGTATTATCGTCCTTTTCATATTCATTAAAAAAACAGGAACAAAAATACGTTTTTCACAAAGATGTCACGGCTGTAAAAACGGCAAGTTGGTAGGTGTAACACATTTCTGAGATTGAAAATACATATAACCGAGTATTAATGTGCCTAGGTATTACGAAGAATTAATTACATACCCGAGTCCGACCCCATCCACTAACAGTCATAGTATTTCCAGCCCGCAACGGTTTTCCTCTTGAAGGTAACGCTATCGGTCGTGTGCAGGAATTGAACTCTATGTCTTTTGCAGTCCTCATTACGGCGATGTCTTTGTCAAATAGAGGCTTATTGTATCCAGGATAAGGAATAACTTCAGCTATTGGTATAATCGTACCGTTCTGTCGAAAAGTGCTTCCCGAACGAAGTAATACAGTTGATGGGTCAACGCTTAAAAATACGTAAAACTTCGTTAATTGGACTATGAATAAAAAATTTAGACACGTAATTGAAAATTTATTATCTATTTTATACGAACTATTCAAAACCTAGTTCACTCATAAGTACTTACTTTTGAGCGCAATGTGCAGCTGTCAGTATGAATCGATTACTGACGATAAATCCTCCGCAGAAGTAAGAGTTGTTAACGACGAAGCTGACCTGATGGGGAAACTCCTCACATGTTGCGAGACGACCTCCCACGATCCTATCTGAACCTTTATTACTCTGTGGAACGGCCTCGCTTCGTAATGCCACTCTTTCCGATTGAATGATCTCTGATGAAAAATATGCCTTTTAATATGTTCTTTAGGGATTATTATTCTACTTATAAGGGATAGGGATATGGGAACAGATACTAAATAGGTAGATACAAACATACTTACTACTTGCTAACGAAGATGTGTTGCAAAATAAACAAATGATAATAGCAAGTAACATGATCACTGCTAGACGAACTTAACCTCATTGAATGCAAAAATGCGATCAAGTACAAACGGAGGATGTATTTAGCGCGGAACGATAATTTAAATAACCCACATGTTTAAAATAGCACTTTAATATATACCTATGTCGGTATTTGCTATTGTCATGCAAACTATTTTCCTTCAAATCAACTAAACAATTATGAAAAGATTAACAGTGTTTAAATATTTCCTATTAAGTTTCTACAACTTGACTAAAATTTGAACGGATTTCTTTCAATACTAACTACACGTATCATTGTAAAAGCAAAATAAATATAAATAAAAAAACATTACAGACTTTTTAACGCATTTCGGTGTCATAAAGATATTTAACATTTGCTATTAAAGAAAAAGTTTAAATTTCTTTAACACGTCTTAATCTAAAGTCCTGTATATTGTGTAATGAAGTCTCTCATCATGGGAGCGGAGATGTCCGTGAAGACGCTGGGCGATAGCGGCTCTCCACAGCCCCGGCCAAATGAAACGATACCACGGGCTACACCATCGATCGAACCCACACCTCCTGAGTCTCCCTAAAATATAATATATCATAGGTCAACCACAAATATGGAACCCTTAAAATATTACTGACCGTATAGAAGAATACAAAAGAAAACATTGCAAGAGCAAGTGAGTTCTAGAAGTAATACCTGACAGGTGCTCTCTCCTCCCAGGAAAAAGTTACCGGCGCACAACATGTTCCTTGTTATGTTAACATCCGCGATGTATGCAAGCCGGCAGGCTCTGCGGTCTACTACCGTTAAGTTGACTGCCATCAGCCGCTCAGGTATTGTCGAAGCGCCTTCCTGGAACAGTAAAATGATATCATCTATTGCTGCTTGCCAATGGATCAACTGTGATAAACTTTGCCTCCTTCTACCCACGTTCTTATGGTAAAGGAAACTGCAGTATGTTTGTGTGGTTTAACTTCTAACTAAGACAGTCCAGATGGACGAGGACGAATATAAGCTAAGACGACCATTTAAACTTTACCTGTGTGCGTCCCCATCCGCTCACAAGTATTTTACTCCCAGCTCTCGCTGTCAATCCTTTAGGTGGTAGAGCAATTGGTTGTGTGCAGGAATTGAACTGTATAGTTTCTTCTGTCTTCATTACAGCTATATCTTTGTCAAACGGTGGATTATCATATTCAGGGTGTGGAATGACTTCTATGATTGGTATAATAGTACCATTTCTACGAAAAGTGCTTCCAGCTCGTAATACTACGGTTGATGGGTCCACGCTAAAATATTTTAAATAAGATTAAACATTCAACTAAGAAAATAATTATTTTCTTATTATTTCCTCAGTAAAACTACTCAAAAACTTAAATTGGCAATTCGGAAATAGTAAATTTACTACTCAACTAGTTATTTGCGAAAGTAATGAATCTAAATTGAAGCCAAACAACGATCAAAATTGACTTTGCTTTAACTCTGGGATTTAATCCAATTGGTCTACGAATATTAAAACGATAAAGATTATTCGACCCTTTTCCCGTAGGATAATATTGAATCTTTTATATAGCTGTGTAAATTCAGAATATTGATACTTAAGTAGTCTACCCTGCTTTTGAACTCACGAAGTAATTCACCAGATAATTTAAAACTCAATATATTGTAGCGCTTTTAGAGTAATCAAAAGCAAGTCCGACGACAACCAAATATTAAATTGTTGTATCCGCAGTTAAAATAAGAATCTCACAAGCAAACATTTAAGTATATCAAGGTACTCTTACTTTTGAGCGCAATGTGCGGCTGTGAGAATGAACCGTTCACTGACGATGAACCCCCCACAGAAGAACGAGTTGTTCACAATGAAACTAATTTGGTGGGGGAATTCTGTGCATGTGGTATTGACACCCCCCACTATCCTGACCTCAGGTTCACCGAGCGGGTTGTCTACTGGATCGCTGGTTATTGGAGGGCCATTAACTGGCACTCGCTCTGATACGATGATTTCTAAATTATAAGATATATTTTTACTGTCACAAGTATTACATTAGCACTTATTCAAAAATAACAAAGACAATATGTCAAAAGATAAGCAGCGTATTCAGGGAATGACTGAACCTAATCTGAGCACGCTCCTTTAAATTATAACTAAACCACACATATAAGTGATAGGTTTACTTACCGCTTCTTTAATGATTGTTAGATGTTATTAAAGAGTAAAGTTTAGATTGAAATATATCTAACATTAAAAAAGCAATTAACTAAATCAAATTTATAAAGATAAACTCACAAGGAACAATATTCAAAACCGTATAAGGATCGTCGTTTTGTTTAATTTCGGTAGTTCATTTATGGACAAGATTAAATGTTTTCGTTATCAATGTTAACGTTCTTTATTAATGTTCAATTAAAAGTATTGTCAAGGTAATTAAAAAGTCAGATAATGTTACTCTGTTTCCTTGGATTAGGATGGTTTGACCTCTCCCTTCCCTTATTCCTTCCTCTTTCCGAAGGACCCTTTCAAGATTGGTTTCGTTAAAATTTTGGGTATAATAATTATGTTCTTGTAAACTCACGTGATTCCAGAGACGAAAGATATGTTAAACTGCAAATAAATATCCAACGCCACATATTGATTGGCATATAAACTGAATCGGTGTTAAAAAACAATTGCAATGTTTGCTTTAAACATGCTATTTATATGTGTAAAAGCAGAACTTAATTGCTACCCTCATGATTAAAATTTTAATGCTTTTTTAAAGATTAAAATACAGACATGTACTTAGGAATTTAACGAGAATTTTCTTTGTTTATATGGATAATTAAATTCTTCATCAAGAATTAAATATAATGTATTAAAATAATCAAACTATACTATACCATTAATCTAACGTTTGATAAAGTATTTGATAGTTCGATAGTACTGTAAGTAAAAAAAAATAAAAACAATTGAAACATCCTCTTGTCTATCCTCCTAGTTTCTTTAAGACGTTTAATATTTAATATTCCTTACTTAAGTATAACCCTCTTATATTATTTATAATCTGTCAATGACAACGTTAAATATATATTTTGATATCATTTTTATCTTACCTAATTTAAAATTATGACTTAATTAAAGGATATCAATAAATTGTTGTTAAAGTTGCAGCATACATGCCAGAATGTTTTTATTTGTAATAAATGAACAAACATAATTACGTCCTACTTATTTTTTAGAAAAAAAAAACTGGGATAAGAATGAGCAGAGGTTGTCAACATATAGGGTTGAATAAAAGATAATCACAGAATCCTTATCAATTTTATTGTTATAATCCTGTAACGCTGGTGATGAAATCTCGCAGCTCCGGTGAGGCTATGTTAGCGAAGACTGTCGGCGCTAACGGCTGGCCGCATAACCGACCGTACGACACGACCCCTCTGGCCACACCATCCACAGCACCAACCCCACCCGAATCACCCTGGTGACAATGAATTATAGTAATATTATAAATGCGAAAGTTTAGTTAGATGGATGTTTGTTAGGGTTTGTAGTAACAGTTGAACGGATCTCGATCAAATTTGGCATAGATGTATAGTCTTGAAGAACTCATAGGTTACTTGCTTGTTTTTTTTTAATTCCTCGCGAATGGAGCCTACAATAAAATAAACCGGGCCGTAATAAAGTTATCGTTTTATCTAGGTTGTAGCAAACCATAAAAATATTTTAGAGATTACTAGAAGAAACAGTTTATAATGTAATGGGATAAATATCGACTTGCATGTTTTGCTTCACATACTAAATCTAACATCTAATCGCTACGCAGAACGCATTTTGAGGTATTGATTCGATTCGATAATTGAGAATATTACACAGCGCACTAAAGAATTTAGATAGCTAAAATATGTGAAAATAACTATACCAGGAATTAATAGCATACCAAATATAGTGATAATATAGACGTAACAGAAGCAAACCATAATATACCTCTATAGATTAGAATCCCCGAGAGCTTTACCTGTTAATTTTGTAAGCGTTTATTCATGGAGGTATATTTGCAGTGTGCAATTATTCGAGATTGTTGCACGCCGTTAAATCCCGGAGCTCCGCAGTGAGCTAGACTCCGTCAACAGCGACATAATGTTGTCCACATACATCCTTCTTGGCGTTTATATTAAATGTAAATTTCATAGCCTCCAGGTAAAATATGAAGGAACAAGGGGAGAGTGGCTATCGTAAATATGGCCTTACTTTATTTATTACTAGCTTTGGGGCGCAACACCGTCCGCGTGGATTTAAAAAAAACAAAAGCGAGTGGGCTATGTGTTCTTCCAGACTATCTTCTAGGTCTATGCCAAATTTCATGGAGATCCGTTCAGCCGTTTAAGCTACAAACTCTAACAAACATCCATCCATCCATCTAAAATTTCGCATTTATAATATTAGTAAGATGCCATTTTTAGATTTCTTTACATTTTTAGACTCTCTAGTCATCAAATAATCAAACCTAAAAATCCTATGAACGAATAAGAATGCGTAATGTGTAAGGTGATACCTGACAAGCGCTTTTCCCTCCAAAATAGAAGTTTCCAGCGCAGAACATGTTGTTTGTAAACGTTCCCGCATAAGCTAGGGTACACAGCCTACGATCAACAACGGTTAGATTGACTGCCATCAGCCTATCTGGTAGCTTTGATGCCCCTTCCTGAAAAACACAACAAAATTACAAATCTAAACTCAAAATTGGAATTTTATAAAAAAGCTAATGTAGCTCTTAATCAAAGATTGAAAACTCGTCTGTTATTTCTGTGGTGTTGCGGATATCCATTGGCATTGAGAAGGACCTCGATGTTTTCTGACGCTTGTTGTATAATACTATTCATTAAAAAGCATTACCCTGGTTCGTCCCCAACCACTGACGGCCATTTCTGATCGCGCCAGTGGTGAAAATCCCCTCATTGGTAATTTTATAGGCTGAGTGCACGCATTAAACTCAATAGGCGTAGCTGTCTTGAATACAGCTATATCTTTATCGAGTGGGGGATCATTATATTCTGGATGTGGTATAACTTCTTCTATCGGTACTATTGTACCGTTCTTTCGGTAAGAACTCCCTGTTCTTAGTACGACAGTGGATGGATCGACACTGAAAAGAAAATAAGACTTTAGAAGAACGTCGAGGTTTGAGAAGTTCCCCTTCAACTTTTACAACTTTGTATTGTTTAAAGATATTAGATAGAGATAGAGATAGAGATTTAAGAAAGGCAAAACAAGGTTAGGGCCATTAGTGTTTAAAGACATCTTCATTGCCAAAGGTTCCTTTTATCTTAGGAGATACGTTACATGCTTTTTAGAAAGAAGGAATTAACAATAAAGTAGAAGTGATTTATAAAATGAAATTCTTGAATAATTCGAAATTTGAAAAATTTAGTAGGAGTAATCAAAGAAATTTAGTTACGAGTGTGGAGAAGAATACAGGTAAAGATAAACCTAGAAATATATGGATGGATTGTGTGAAGGGAGACATGATCAAGAAGAGAGTGTCTAAGGTGACGAAAGATAGACTTGCCTGGAGAAGGAAAACCTCGACCCTACGTGAGTAGGATAAGGGTGGGCGGGGGAAGATGACTTAGTAGTAGCAATGGTCTATACGTACTCTTGTGCACAATGTGCAGCTGTTAGAATAAATCGTTCATGTATAATGAAGCCCCCACAGAAGAAAGAGTTGTTCACAATAAAGTTAACTTGGTGAGGGAACTCCTCACAGGTTGCGTCCCGCCCTCCGACTATCTTACTAAGTTGGGGCTTTCTTACATTATCTTCTTCAGTTAGCTCATCGTATATCTTTTTTCCAGTTAATTCAATTTCTGAAAGTTCTAAAAATGTTGATGACTCGACAAAAATGTTCATATCTGTCACAAGGAATTTTATATTTTTGGCAAAGCGCAAGTATAAAAATGTTCTTTATTGATTATTTTGAAGTACTTTGAGTAATAGTTATTTGATGGAAATGTAGATTATATTAGCAGAAATGAAAGTTTGTAATTCATTCAAAACATTTTTTTAATTTAGTATTTTTTAGTTATTTTTTTAAATAGTATTTAGATAGAAGATACCAGGAGATATGTTAAAATAGACATAAAACCTACACCCACAGGTCGTTCTACTATAAAGCTAGAATATTTTTATGATTAAATTACTCACGATACGCCAGCAAGAATCCACACAAGACCAAATATACGAACACCGAAGACCACATCGCGTTTGAAGTAAACTAAATGAATGTCGACTAACATGGACTTAACTTGCAACTAACTAGTTTGTTAGCAAACAGAACTTATCTATTCAAATTTATCTGATTTTATATTTGTTTAGAATTACCCACATCACTTCAATGGTATTTTTTTCCTGTCCTTACTATATATGTTAATCATTTCAATGTAATTCAATGTAAATTTATCAACGGAAAGGTACGGAGATATGCAGGATCAAGGACAATTTTCAATGCTCCGGTAGTAAATGTTGTGTGTATCCCTTACTATTCAGCCAGGCCAAGCGTAAGCACACTTGGCTTGATTCATAAAAATTAATTCTCTTTATATTTCTCTTTATAAAGGGTTCTGCTTGATATTTTTTTCCCTTCCTATCTATAATTCGAGTTTCCAAAATGGAGAAAATGGGGACGAAATACCACGATCGATAAATAAATACCTTTATGACACATGAAAAATAAAAAAACTGTTTTTTAACCATAATCGTATAATATAAATTAGATTCTATATTTAAAACTTAATATTTAGTCTACAGTCCGGTATGCTTGGTGATGAAGTCTCTCATATCCGGCGCGGAGATATCTGTGAATACACTCGGAGCGAGCGGCTGACCGCAGCCCCGGCCGAATGACACGATGCCGCGCGCTACATTGTTGATCGCACCAATGCCACCGGAATCGCCCTTTGATAGGATTTATTCTACTGTTAGCATTCTTATATTTATACAGAAAATAGGACATAAAGATTGCTGATATTAAGACCTTTCAAAAACATAAAAAAGACAACCTATGCGGGTCTTAATAAGGTTCGTATACTCGAGATAAACTTTTGTTCTATTTGTATTATACAAATATATTTTCTGTGTCTATTTTTGTGATACATTGCTTATTATGTTTTTCTTATGTTCACATCAAAAATGTTAATTCTTAGTGTTATGGAAGTTTACTGAAAGATATACTCAATGTAATTAATTGCAGTTAATTCAAATTTACCTGACAAGTGCTCTGTCCTCCTAGAAAGAAATTTCCTGCGCACAGCATGTTCTCAGTGATAGAGAGGGGTAGGTAAGCCGCCCGACAAAGCGTGTGGTTCACCACAGTCAGGTTTACTGCCATCAATCTGTCAGGAATCATGGTAACACCTTGCTGAAAAAGAAGTTCCACTAAAACTGAGGGCTTTAATGTAGATTACTTACCAGATAAAACAAGGGAATTGAGTTAAATTGACACATTTCTGTGATAGCGTTTAGAATTTCTATAAAGTTGTTAAATACTCGTTATTAATTGACCATCCTTGCTAATTGACTGGACTTGTGATATGCCAGCATTACTTTTATTAGATTTTCATGTTTAACTTCTAGAATAGACAAGAAGGAGACTAATGAGTAGACCTACAAATTGTGTCATAACATTATATTCATATGTACATACCTTAGTACGTCCCCATCCACTAACTGTGATAACCTCGCCATAGCTAGCTGATAACCCTTTAGCAGGCAGCGCAATTGGCTGAGTGCATGCGTCAAACTGCAACGGCTCAGATATCTTCATAACAGCTACGTCCTTGTCGTAAGGTGGATTGTTGTACTCCGGGTAGGGAATGACTTCTGTGACCGTCACTTTGGTACCATTCTTTCTCCATGTGCTGCCAATTCTCATCACAACTGTCGATGGGTCGACCCTGTTGACGAAATATTTGATATTCTAGATTATAATTTATTTCAGTACGATTATAAAAGATACTTTAGTTAAAATTAATTAATACTGTATCTGAATTTATGTCAGAATGTCTTTAGCAATGTAAGAAAGAAACAATCTTACTCTTGTGCGCAATGTGCCGCGGTCAGTATGTACTGATCGCTGATGATAAATCCTCCGCAGAAATATGAGTTGTTTACGACAAAGCTGACTTGATGCGGGAACTCTTCGCAGGTCGCGTTCCTACCTCCCACTATACGTTCCTCTGCATTCGTGTCACTCTCTTTTGTTATTTCTGAGACTTTACCATTCAACGGTACTCTTTCTGATAATATTATATCTGAAATTAAATTTTAAATTCTATAAGTATATCAATTTTTAAACCCTTTTTTAAACGCTTGGCATCCATACGTTCAAAATGCAACAATCCACGATAAGCGCCCTTTTTAAAACCACTACGACGTAACACAATGCTTGGAAATGTATTTGTTATGTTTCAACGCTTTTTACCACGTGTAAAAGCGCCTGTGAAAAAAGGAACTGAATCAGCGTTAGATTAACAGATATGGCACGATATTGAAATGAGTCCTTTTTTCCTTCTACATCGATGTACATGCCGTTTAAGTAATTCCATGCCATATATTTGAGCTATGTCTTTTATTGTAAAGGGATAGAACAATGTGACGAAGACGAAGCACCAAAGATTGCAGCGTTTTTGTATCACATTTAGGTATTTACTATGAATTCTTGTACATAACTTACCTGTGCCAACACAGAGTCCTAAACAACCTAAGGAAATTAATAACAGCGCCGTTCGACACATATTACACTATCAAAACTAAGGTGAAATGCGATAATGTTGAGCAAAGCGGTGCTATATATCGGCTCCTCTTTTGAATATTAAGTTTGTGTGACGCCCTGTAGTGACTAAACTGTTACTTTCCTCTCCACAGGAGTTGATAGATAGAACCAGCAAACCGCTGTGTGTACATTTGCACTAACTATAATTTCCTGACATTTTTCTGTAATCTACAAAATACAGAAGTATACTCGTCTATATTTAATAGAAGCGGAGACAAATTTAAATAACTTTTTTGTAATTTAAAACGCAAAAATTGTTACAAATAAAATTAGTAAAGAATAAACCGATCCCAAGAATCTTGAATTATCGAAGAACTTTGTCACATGACTCCAATCAAATATCTCTAAGCCTTTATTAGAATTTCTGGAATTTAATTGAATAAAATGTTTGTTGTAAAATTACATGGCATTTATTCAGCTCACTTTTAATTAAAAAAGTTTCCGTATAGAGAGTTGTTAGCATTAGCTGGTAAAAAAATATTTGCAATAAAATTATTTTTGATTACATACGTTTATGTTTCATGCATTCTTCAAGACCCTTCTTCATATCTTCCCTCATCACAGTCGTCACTAGGGAGTGGTCGTAACCTGGAGGATGAAACTCGGTGAGCTGACCCTACGGGAGTAGGATATGAACGGTGAGATGAACATGACCTTTATGACCTTTATATATTTCTCCACACTAAATGTAATGATGGATTAATGTAAGTATAGATTTGGTTGATTATCCTTCCCACGCTTACTCATTTACTCGATTATTTCGCAATCTCGCAAAAGTGATTTATTACTTTCTGCTATAATAGTATTTAGTTGACTTTTGGAAATAACAAAACTGAATAAGTTACAATAGCTGTATTATTTTATACCATAGAGGAAATGAACAAGCGTAAAACACAATATTATTTGATATTATCAGAAAATTACAAAAATAATTAACATTTCTTAAAATAAAGGCGAATTGACATTTAAAATTTTTGCCACGACTTTCTAGTCATAATTATAACCTTTGAATAACAATTTTCATTAAACAGTCGCTAGAAAATAACAAAGACGTACAAGTTCAATATTTGAAGAAAGTAAATTGACACAAGACTTTCTACGAGTACCTGACTTTAATCATTTATAAGACACGTAATGTATGCCAAATCGTGCGATGTTTTCCAAATTGATTTTAGGTAAAAGGCGTACTGTGTAAAGAAGTCTATTGTCATAAATAGACACTTATGCTATGACATATAAGTAGACTAAACAGACATTGGTGAAGTGGGAGCAATTCCGGGTACAGCCTGATGACTGTGTGCCGGAGGCCCAACTTTAACCACTATTTCTTTTTTACCTTTTTTAGCTAGAGCAGACGCATAGGAAGGGGAAATATCTTCTTTATGTACGTTTCCTCCTCCGTCGATTAAAGGTAGGCAACGCTTCAGCTATTGCGAAACTCTATGGGCAGCGGTCACTTCGCCAGTTTGGATTCAGGTGGCCGCTTGCTCGTTTGCCATCTTTATTATATAAAAAACTTGCTATTTTAACAGTTATAGATTTATAGATATTACAATTTATAAATACAATTTATAGATATTAAATCTATAACCCATCTATTCTCAGTATAATATTATTTGGATCGTTTATTATTAAGATGAAAAGAGCTTTTGCCTCAGAATTTAATATCCCTTGCTGAGAGCTTCCTTCCTTTCATTTTGCCCTTCTGAACTTAATCCTATTGTTACAATACTAGTGATTAGATATTTTGATTTGTTATGTTGTGAAAATGTTTTCTACCTACAGTATTAATGACAGAAATGATTGTAAACAACTCCATTGTTATTGTTTTAATGGCCGAAAACATGCTTAAAACATAGGTTTTTATAAGATACTAGCTTTTGCCGGCAACTCCATCCGCGCGGAATTAACACAAACAAAAATTGGGTAGCCTTTGTGTTCTTCCAGACTATCCTATACATTTATACCAAATTTCATAGAAATACGTTCAGCTGTTAAGGCTACAAACTCTAACAAACATCCATCCATCAATCCATCTAAACTTTCGCATTTTAATATTAGTATATTTGATAGGGATGAAAATTTGCTTGAATCCATGTATTACCTCGGTGAAAACACATTCACGTTTAGCATAAACTTAATATAAACAAGATGCACTTAAACTGTTAAGCAAATGTGTCTGTTAACGAAGCTGCGACTAAATAACTTTACAACTTAACGGAATTAAGTTACAAGTGAGGCTGATGATAACTTAGATTTCCCATATAAAATGAGTGTCGTGAATCAAATAAACTTACTACTCTATTTTTATTTTTCACCTAATTTAAATCCTATCTTATGTTATTTTTCAGATTCATTTTTTTTACAAGTTAATTATCAAGTTTTTTTGATCCTGGACAAAAATCCCCAGATATTACCACATTAGTAAATACAGACAAAATGTATGCGAGTTATTTGTTAATAAATAACAATGTGGTTAACATTCCAATATCAACCGATTTTACCGCTCATTAGTTTAACAAATAAACGAATAAATCATTTGTAAAAATGGATTTTCAACCCAAAATCACGTTCGGAGCAGTAATTAACTCTCGATATTACTAGCTATCTCGTTATTAATGCAGTTTGTTTTATTATTACCAATCGAAAACGTTACATGCTGTTCATTTTAACACCTACATGTTTTTAAATATGTTACTTATATACTCAGATGGAAAATGGAAAATTAACTAGCCTCTTAGAGTAAATTTCCCTTACATTAGTGGACTTATGTCCACAAAAGGTGCTTATTTTAATATGTCTTTGAATGTAACATTAAGTATCGTAAAAAACACATTTATAACATTTTCCTAGAACATTTCATTTCAATTAGTTGATAAATATCTAGTTATAATACGAGTAATGTGAACAATAATTATGGATTCAAAATATGGTATTTGAAGTCTTGTTTTGGTCATAGTTAACCTTATTTAAATTTTGAGCTGACGATGTATTCGCTTCACCATTCCAGACACATTGTCTCCAAAGCATCATATGTCATCTAAATCATTATAAACTAGCTTTCGCCTGCGACTCCATCCGCGTGGAATTGAATTGAGTAGCCTAGCTGTTCTTCCAGACTATCCTCTACATCTATTCCAAATTTCATCGAAATCCAATCAGTCGGTTAGGCTACAAACTCTAACATCCATCCATCTAAACCTTCGCATTTATGATATTAGTAAGATAGATAATCACTGCAGGATGTACTGGCCATCGCGTGTGGGACAACAGTAATTATCGAGACACGATTATATCATTACAATATCATGTATGTGATTATCAAAGTCATATTGTTCGATAATAACGTGAATTGCAAATGACAATGAAGCATCTATACATCACGAATTGAATATTATGAAATTGTCAAGGTGATCTAATAATTCTTTCAGAGATTGAAATTGATGATGCGTCACGGTGTCGCATTTCGTTACAAGAAAGGGAAGGGAGATATAACGCATAGAATGAGTGACAGAGAGCGATGTTAATAGGAAAATAATGTAGTTGATCATTTGGGTAAGTTTTTTTTTTATAATATAAGGAGGCAAACGAACAAACGGCCACCTGAATTCAACGAAATGGAAAGGGACCGCTGCTCATAAACATCCGCAATTGCAGATGCGTTGCCTACCCTTAATTGACGGAGGAGGAGACGCACATAAAGAAGACCCCTTCTTATGCATCTCCTCCACCGTCAAATCCACTTTAGCTTCCCATCCTTTCCTCATATCAAGAGGATGGAAAGGGAAAGAGACTTAAATTAGGGCTTCGGAACCACACTCATCAGACGAAACGCGGAATTGCTTTCACTTCAAGCCTATCTTTAGTGTGGTCGTGGTATTACACCGGGCGAGCCGACCTATTCATGCGAAGATGTTAAAACGGGCTCTACCACTGTTAACTTGCTGTAGAAGTTAGCTCACTGTGTACATTCTTGTGATTATTTTTCTTTTTATTTAGTTTATAGATAAATCTGAAAGTTATTTTATTAATGTGTCTACCAGATCGCTACACGAATTGCTCCAGGACATAAGGGTCAACAGACAAACATAAAATTCAAATAAATACGCAATAAAAGGCTTTTATTTCTGTTACACACTGTTTATTTTGTGTCTGCCTTTAGCACAACTTTACGGTCAAGTTAGCAACCGTACAAATTGTATGATCGTGATATAAAACGTTTCGTATTATTAAATTTTAAATGAAATTTACAAGTATTCAAAATTGATTACTTTTAAATAAAATTACACTAATCTATTTACATTATATAACAGTATACATCATTTTGTTTTTATTATGTATAATTTATATTCACTGTTTTTTTCTATCCTATCTAATTTATGATACACGAGCTGTTGCCCGCTACTTCGTCCGCGTGGTATTAGAAAACATACGAACTATATAAATTACAAAAAGCTACGTATTCCTCGGGTACCGGACATTTCTCTGGGATGAAGCTTATCTCATGTGTACTCCAGACTTTGTTTTATATCTGTGCCAAATTTCAAAAAGATATGTTGAACCGTTGCAGATTGATCGAGTGAACATTAAAAAACTAAATTAATGAATCCCACGGGAACCGTAACTATTCCCGGGATAAAAAGTCTATATGTTCTTCCAGACTATGCACTAAACCTGTGCCAAATTTCATGGAGATCCGTTCAGCCGTTTAGGCTACAAACACTAACAAACATCCATCCATCCATCTAAACTTTCGCATTTATAATATTAGTAAGAAGTAAGATTATTGATTATGTAAGGACATGTTAACTGCAAAGGAAAAAAATTACATTCGCAGATTAGAAGCTTTGTACTACATGTTAAGATCTGAGATATATTTGAAATGCGGTTAAGTAATGCTATGTAACTTAATACTTAAATAAATAATACCTTTTGGTAATAAAGGTAGAGGCGTTCAATATTGTTAAGCGATGATTGAAAACAGCAGATAACTGATCTGTACCCACTAATAAAAAATTACAAATTGTAGGCATTATTCCATAATTGGTGCAATAAATGAAAATTATTTGTCAATTTTGAAGTTAACAGTATTGCGATTACAAAGTAGCAGGCGTTTTTAATTTGAAGAATGATTTATAGAATTCGTGAGGACGCCGACCTGCGTAACACAGCCTATACCAAATAATTACATTAACTTATCTTACATAACTCGTACAGCAGTGAATTAACTTTAAAAGAAATTTAAAATATAGTCTTTTATACTATTCATAACTTAATTAAGCTTAACAATAAAGTTAATTTACAAATAGTAAAATTTAAATAAATACTATAAACATATCACAGGTGTTCCAATAAGGATATAATGGAGTAGGCAACGCCGGAAACCATGGCGATAATAGAGAAGA